CCCAGGACTCCTGCTGGAACGTTTAAGAGAGGACGCACCCTGTCCGTTGGAGTTGGCCAAGTCAATAGGGTATAAGACTAAAGCTGCCAGGGGCCACCAGGCAAAGGAAGCTGACCAGAAGTCAAAAAGGAAAAAGCAGAACTGAAAGGCTGAAGAAAAGCTCGTATTAACTGAGCATATGGATCTAGCTATACTTACCTCTATTCCCGGTTCCTTCTAGATGGGTCCTCACATGGTAGGCGGGTCAAGACAATGCTCCAGGATCTCTTTTGTAAGAATGCAAACCGCTTAATACCGGCCCTCATGTCTTGATTACCTCCCACCTGGCCATCCTACCTTCAATTACCTATTGCCTTGGGGCTTAGGACTTCAGTGTATGAGTTTGGGGAGGACACAGCATTCAGCCCATAGCACCAGCTTGCTGGTCTTGGCCAGAGAGCGCACAGGGGTTGCACATCTTGGCACACACCTGCCACTCTGCTCACTTCTGCTTCACAGATTTCTGCTTGACCCACACAGATCCCACCCTACCCTGGCGGAGCAGAGTGAAGACCCAGTTTTTCCTGGGAGCAATGGCACCAGAGGGGTATCAGGTGCTCTGGGTTCCTGGACAAGGTTCAGGCTTTGCAGCACGATACGAATTCTTTCTAACCGCAGGTCAAACTCCAGCTACAAAACTGGTGCTGTATGACCATATCACTTAAATGACTATATATGCAAAGAACATTTGGAGGGGTATAGAAAGTTAACAGTAGTTACCCCTTTTAAAAATTCTACCTCAAAATTCTACATTTCTTAAAATGAATATGTTTTTCTTTTGTAGGAAAAAAATTACAAAATGTATAACTAAGCTCATTTTTAAAAAACCTTGGTCATAAAAATGTGTGCAAGTTCAACTAAATTCCGTCAGAACAGAGAAAAAAGGTGAAACAAGCCTGTGTCTCCCAAGAACTCCAGGTGGGGGTCACCACTTGGCAGCCACATGCTGTGCTAAGCAAGCGAGGGGGTCGCTCCCTCAGCTCTGGGGTGAGGGCGGGAGTGGGTGGGAGAGCCATCTGGTGGCCAGAACCTGAGCTTCAGGTTGGTCCCAAGTCAGTCCTCCTCCCTGCTCCAGAACCCTGCTCTTAGGAAGGGTTCCTGCCTTAGTTTCCTTCCCAAGTCTTTGTTTCTGGCTGTCCTCAAACCCAGACCCCAGGCCAACCCCTTAGATGCTCTCTAATCTACCCACCCTGCCCGTCATCCACTCCCTCCAAGATGCAAAGGAGAGGTAAAGGGTAGGGGATGTGGCGTCCGACCCCAACCCCACCATGGCTCCAAGCCCTTCTCTCCTATCCCTTCCATCGTGAAGCTGGCTGAGGGTCAGCCACCCTGAGCCTAAGCAACCCACCCAAGCCTCCACACCTGGGGCTATCTGTCCTGAGCAGCCAGAGCCCTGCCCGCTGCCCACCACTGACAGATCCCTCTAAAACCCCGTAACACTGCCCCACACCCTGGGACCCAGAGCAAGGACCTCAGCTGCAAGCCTCAGTTCCTGCACCTGCAGCTCCCTGGGCCCTCTGCTAATGTCCTGGAGGCCTCTGCTCTGCTCGAACAGCCCTGGGTTGGACTGGGTCTCTGGCTTTCCGCACAGGGAGGAGGTATAAGGAGACTGCTATGCAGCCCAGCCCAGGCAGAGTCAGATAGAGTGAAGCAAGTGGACTCTTGGCAGCAAGGCTGGTGAAAGTCCAGCCAGAGCTCCCATTTGGTAGCTGCAGTTAGAGGGCAACCTCGAAACACCATGGTCCCTGAAATCCTCCCTAGACCCTAGCAGAGATTTCACCAAGGAAAGAAGCTGAACAGGGCCTGTGCTGGGGGGTGGCAGACACACACCATGTCTACCAGAACAGCTCAGGGAATGTGGCTGGGCTCTCTGCTGGGCGCAATGGGGAGGGGAGGGAGATGAAGTAGATCTCTGGGTCTCTGAGTTGTTTGGGAGAAGCCGGATCAATGAGCGCACCTCTGACAATAAAGAGCTGGGAAACAGGGGTGTAGGCAAAGAAGTCCTGTCTGTGGCTGCCATTTTCAGTTCTGTGTATGGCCATCCTGCTGACCAGCAGGGTCAAGGTACTCCTGGAAAGCAGGGCTAGAGCCAGCCGTGGAAGTCATTCTGGGCACTGGACATTTGGAACCCACTGGGGGCAGACTCAGTGCCCTGCTCCAGGGGTAGCCCTTGGAATTCTTGCTCCAGCTATGGGGGGTCACCCTCCCCAGAGCCTGGGTAGAAGGCCAGGCAAGGAAGGACATCTACACTCTGTCTGACATGCTCTCTTCCCCAAAAGGGGCCATACTTTGGCTCCCTGATCCAGACCAGTCCCTCTGCCCTGGCTGTAATTGGGGGAGACTGTTTAATCTCACTGAACTCCAGGAGCCTTGCGGGCTGCATCTGGACAAGTCCATGGCAAAGAAGAGGCCCGGAAAGGGAACTGTCTTCAGCTGGTGGTCCTTAAGGCTGAGGCCACCAGCTGCCTGCCTACCTGTGCCCTTGGACCTCCATTCCCCATTCCAGCACGCTGAAGGAGTCGGAACTCTACTTGGTGGCACATGACAGAAGTGACGACAGAGTGCCTCAAGCAAAGGGGAGAATTTGAGTCCATCTTAGCTTTTGTGCTACTGTAATAGAATGTTGCAGACTGATAATTTATCAACAACAGAAGTTTATTTGGACTATGCTTCTGGAGGCTAGAAAGCCCTTGATCAAGGGACCACATCTGACGAGGGCCTTGTCACTGCATCACCCACGGTGGGGGCACTCCACGGAAGAGGTCAAACTTGCAGCCTCAAGTTCTTCCATAATTAGCACTGACCCATTCATAATGGAGCCCGTGTGGCCTAATCGCCTCTCAAAAGTCCTACCTTCTTTGGCACTGCTGGGGCTAGAGCCCAGGGCCTCAAACAGGCTAGGCAAACACTACTACTGACTCCTGAGCCATATCCCCAGCCCAAAGCCCCACCTCTTAACGTGCACCGGGGATTATATTTCCAACACATGCCTTTGCAAGGACATGTTTAAACCACACACTGCCCCGAAATGTATCTTTTTCCATCCTAGGGGACCTGCTTTGCTCTGAACTACTCCTTCAGAAAGCCTCTCCCTACACCATCCCCCAAGGTGATAAGAAGGCCCTAGGGCCCCAGGCGACGCTCCACCACCTTCAGCACACCAGAGGGGAGGACCAGCTACACACGTCTGCCTTGTTCCCCATGTCCTTGAGCAGCTGTCAACCGCTCAGCGTGGGCCAGTGCCGGGCCCTACCACGCTGTGGTCAGATGGGTCGAGAGGCTGTGTGGTCAGGCCCGGGCCACAGCCTCCCAGAGGACTCTCAGGAGCTGGTCCCCAAAGCAGGGGGGACACGGGATCCCTGTCCACTCCTCACCATGGAGACTCACCAAGGAGAATGGAGGACAGATCTGAGCCTTGCTAGGACCCAGGACTCTGCCTGTCCCCGTAGAGCTGAAGGCCTATGCAATCGTGCTGTTCTCAGCTCAGCTCTAGTTGTCGGGGCCAGCGTGGGGCAGAGCACCCCGATTAACATGCTGAGCTGTGGAGCTCAGACAAGCATGCTACTTCTGCCTCTCTTCCCCAGTCTGTTAATCTCTATGACCATCTAGCTCGGCCTGCACCAAGCAGTCCTGGGCATGGCCTAGCACTGTCCCCAGCCCCTTCCTGGAGCCCACCTGGAGCTGCCCAGCTCTCTGTGGGAGGGTACATGTGGGTCTGTCCTCACTCATCAAGGCCTCCCAGTCTGTGGCACAGGACAGGCTTGAAGTGGGTGACAGGGAGCAGGCGCAGGATTGGATGCGACCTTGCAGAGTGGAGGGTAAGGGGTAACACCGCGGCTCTGGAATCCTCGCTGCTGTCCCCTGCGGCTTACAGGGTCAGGCCTTGTCCTTCACTGCCACGGGGCCTGGGTTCCTCAGCGGTTCTAGGGACACAACAAACATCTCCTCCCCTACAGCCAGGAGCCCTGGTGAAGCTAGAAAAAGATAAATGTCAGGGGAAATGCCCGGGGCAAGACAAAAAGAGCTTCTTTTCCTAACGGGACTGGAAAGGATCTGTTTAGATTTCAGGATTTTTTTTTTTTTAATGAAAAAGAAAGAAAGGAAAAAAAAAAAAAAACCAAAAAACAAAAAACTGAAAACACCAGATGGCTTCCACATACGCAAATATTGGGCCAGTTCTCGTGACCTGCCTCAGGAGACCGCTGGGCTGGAGCGCGGAGGAGGGACGGCCGGGAACCAGGCGGGGACCCAGCACCCCGTGACTCCCGCGGGTCAGGTCGGGCTGCGGGCCTCCTGGGGCGGGGAGCCCCGGCTCTGCTGCAGCAGGTCTGGGGTGTAGCTCCCCAGGGGCGGCTTCCCGGGACGCCGGGCCCTTGCTCCAAGCTGGGAGTCCCTGCCTCTAGCCCTTGCCCCAAGCTGCGGGTCCCTGCCTCTAGCTCCGCCCGTCAGTACAGCCGGGTTCGGCTCTCGGGTTTGGGGAAAGGCGTTTCCCCGTCTCCGAGGAGCCCCGGACTTCTGTCGCGGCCGAGCCCTAGTCCTCTCCCCGGGGAGCGGCCGGGGAGAGCGGTCTGCTGCGTGCGCGCTGTGGTGCTCGGCGAAGAGCCTGGCGCACGGAAGGGCGCGAACGAAGAACAGGGCCCATGGTGGGTGTTGGTGGGTGTTCGGGTGCGGGTATCTCGTGCCTGCATTGGGCCCTGTGCCTCACAAAGATCGGGTGAATCTTCAGCATGGCCCGGAAGTGGGTTCTACTGCTATCCCCATTTTACAGTTGGGGAAACAGAGGCACGCAGCAGTCAGTCTCCTGCCCGCCCTTCACACCTAGGCAGTGGCTGACCTGGGGAGAGGGCCAGGCCAGCGCTGTCCCGGGCCGGAAGCCCTCGCAGTGCTGTCCGGACTGGGGAGCCGCCCCTCACCCGCAGAGTAGACTCGGGCCCCCGCCGCCGTTGTCACGACAACCGGGCTCCAATGGGAGCGGGCGGGCGGGCGCAGGCCCCGCCCCTGCCCCGCCCCGACCCCGCGCTCGCGGCTATAAGAGCCCGAAGCTGCCGCGGAGCTCCAGCCTGCAAGCGCGAAGCCCACGGAGGATCGGAGCAGACCGACCCGACCGGAGCCAGGATGTGCGGTGAGT